TGGAGACATCACTTTGTCTTCTTTCCCACAGGCCTCTGCCTTCCCTCGGCTAACCAAATTTTGGATATGCTTATGAGACTCTCCTTCTGAACCTCTGCACCATTGTGTAGCCCACAGATGAGGCTTGCAGGCATCTTCAGAGCATCTGAGTGGCTTGTTCTTTCGTTATAGTAAGCTGTACCTCTATACAGTGGTCTCCTCCTGTTGGTATTTAAGAAGGTTATGGTAAGGGTGGGGTGTGTTCAAGACAAGACGGGGTAGGCTACAGTGGGCTGGGAGATACAGAAGTACTGCTGTCCCAGAAGGTCCCAGTAGGTGGCAAAGGCAATGAGAGTTTGACCAGTCTTTCTGCTCATCACTGAGGCTGGGAACACTTGTGGCATCTTGGATAGTGTTCTATGATGCAATTATACTCTTACAAGCAGTTAGCCTAACAGCTTCCACAACTGTCTGAGTGCGCAGACACCTCTGACTAATGGCACAGTAAAGCCCTGGCCTTGTCTCAGTAGTCTATCTGGCTGGTCCAGGCTCCAGAGACTAAAGATAGGACTTCAGGAAAGCACTATGAGGCGAGGCCAAGGAACAGCTCAGAAGATGGGAGCCCTGGGCTTGAGCAAGATGAGCTTTGTCTCTATGATGTGACTTAGTTGATGACAGCTGGGCCAGAGGCAACAAACCTCAGCTACAGCTGACCTTGTCTACCTGGTGGTGACAGATCCATACCCAGAAACATCCAGTCCTGGGGAGGCTGTGCCCATCATGTAGAGCTTAGGACATTTGCTTTAGAGATGGTAGCCATAAGGCTGTTGTTAAAATGGAAGTGAACAATCTCAAGAAGTCATCGGGCTTTGCTCAAGGTGAAAGCACCAGGCTGTTTTCAGGCTTCAGGGGTTCAGACCACTTAGATGCTGCTGCAGAAGGCAAGTATGAGACTCTCCTCAGGAACCTTCAAAAGCCACTGTCGATCTATATTATGAACCAAGTGTTATGGTCAGGAAAGAAGGGACAGAGATGAATGGAAAAAAAGATGGGTTCCTTGGGGACCCAAATTGGCTTTCAAGAGACAGAAAAACAACTCACCCAGTAAGGCAACTTGCTTTTCAGCATGGGCCCAAGTGTTTACTCAGCTAACTACCCCTCTCCAGCCACAAGGTCTGGTTAGACTCCACTAATGAAACTGCCACCTATGGCACCAGAGTGAAAGTGTCATCTTGCCACATGCCTCACTCTTATGACCATTAGGTAAGCCAACGAGGCAGATGTATATCCTAAACTGAGGCTGGCTTTGGTATACTACATAGCTATATCTGCCAGGCTCTCCTATGCACTTTAGTGAGCACTCGAGAGCAAACAGGATACATATTTTACTTCTTCATCTCAACTCCCAGCACAGGTACCCACTGAATTTGTGGGGCCCTGGATAAGAGGAAGCTCATCATATTAGCACTGACAGTGTATCCTTCCCAGGATAACACAGAAAGTATGGCAGTCCCCCCACCCACTATGCCCCCCATGTTCTTAATTATTCTTGTGCCTCTCTTACTATAAGGAAAAGTTATATGAATACTGTACAGGGGTTAATAAAAAAATACATATGCTCTCTTTGAGGAAGAATGCACAAATGCAGGGCTGGCCCAGGGGAGATCCTGGACCATGGGCTATGGCAAATGGTCTCTGGGGGCCCAAGGCCAACATTCAGGAGTGGTGGCTGCTGATGAGTCCTCGGAGCTGTTTGGCCACAGTGTCAATCAATTTCTGCTTGTCTCGTTCATTTTTCCGGAACTGTGCAAACATGTTATTCTTGCGGCTAGTATCTTTCATCCTAAATAGAGAAGGAGAGAAAGGGGGCAAGATGTTTGAGATAGTACCAGACAAAGAACAAGCAGGGAGTAGGATGGATGGCAATATTCATCTTAACCATTCCCAGAGTAGAAGAGCCCAGCATATTCCCATTGTCTAGCTGCCTACTCATTATGAAGCTGTCCTTCAGGCACCCACTACCTTCCTGACTTCATTTGCCTTTGATAAAGAGCAAGCTTTGGAGGGGCCAGGTCCTTATCCTCATACCTTCCCCATCTGGTCAACCCTTATATCTTCAGATGAGCACCTTTATAAGAGTCTGAGACATGTCACAGCTCTGCTGGCCAGCAGACTCCTTAAATTATCTGGAGTGCACTTATTTCATTATCCTGCTTAAACATAAGAGATGGAATTTGGAAGGTAAGGCAGAAAAATATTGTCTTAAAATGAATTGCGGGAGATCATAAGTCACCAAAGAGCCACTGTGCATCTTTACTCCCTACTCACTCTAACTGATCACTCTTTCATGGCCCTGGAAAAATGAGGAGTTAGTTTCTTCATTAGTTTCAGGAATATGGATGAGAAGTAGTATGATACCATGTGGGCACAGAACTGAGAAAAGCAGGGCATCTTCCCAGTTAATAAAGTTAGGCTTTATGTGAGAGACAGCCTGAACTCTCAATGATTGTGTACAATCTCAAGATTTTTGTTTTGGGTTCTGCTAAAGCTCTACAGATGAAATTACTGGAGTATAAATAATGGATATAGTTCTGTCAAGTGGATGGCCCTAATGAGGAGGCAGGGTTAAAGAAAGTAAGGCCAAACTGACATTACTGCAGTCTCTAGGTCCAGCCAAACCACCAGGACAGAGTCCAGGACTCTCTGTAAAGGACTTCTCTGTAAAGGTTCTGTTATACATGGCATCCAATGCTGATGACCTACTGTGGTCTAGCCTCTGCACCCTGATTCCCAGCCCACAGGTGAGGTGGGCTGGCTGGCGCCTTTGTTCTTGGAATTGAACTGGCTTTTCTGTTCTTAGGGCTACATGGGGAAAGTCCAGAGGGTCTAAATTACTCCCAAGCATACTTCCCAAAGGTCTTTGGCAAATCCTTAGCCTTTTTTCCTCCTCTAAGAGGAGTCTTTTGAAGAGAAACATAGTTGGAGGCCATGAATCAAGACAGAAATTCCAGAAAGGTAATTTGCATCGTGTATAGATGCTACACACCAGGTACAATGTGTGCTCGTCTGTGTTTATATAGCCACTGGAAAGCATAGAGTTCATCAGGGCATTCTGACCATCAAGGAAGCATAGCTGTCTGGCTCTTTGACAGTGACAGTCAAAGCTAACTGTGACTTTTCTCCCCAGTCTAAGCTCAGAGTAATTCTTTCAGGCTAGAGTTTTTCATCCAGCGTGGAGCTCCTGCCCACATGTGGAAGCCTGCTCTAGGCTAGGAGGGAGAGCAGATGACTTGACTGGGTTGGAAAGAAAGCTTTCCTCAATGCCTTTAAGGCACTGGTGAGCAGAGTTTGCTACTTTAAACACTAGCTGCACAATTCTGTTTGTGAATCTGGCAGTTTTAGATTATTCTGAAGGACTCCTTTCCTTTTGTTGGATAAGCTATAAATCCAGACAACACAAAACTAACAGGAAAGAGGAAACAGAGAAGACCTTTCTATATTTGCAGGACATTTGGCTTGACTGATGTTATAATTTCCTGTGGTAATGAAGAAATAGATAGCGAGAAATGGCCTGTAGCTCAAGAGGAGGACCCTGTACTGTATAGGAGAAAGAGAAGAGTCAAGAGGCAAGAAATTTTTGGTCATTGAAGCCTTTGGTTGGAATCTTGTCCTCAGGTGTCCTGAAAGCTCACAGTGGCAATGACAGCTTGTGCCCACTTGGGAAAGAACAAAACTAAGTGAACTCTTCCTTCTCTGATCCTTCTTCAAGTCTCAGATTCTCTTTTCCTCTAGCTGAGTCACCTTTCAGTGACACACGGACTTTCCAATTTTTTTTTTTCTTTTTAAGATAGTACAGGCGATGATCTGGGTTTTTCTGTCTTGCCTCACTAGGAAGAACCAGATTTGGAAAGAGAATCTGGTAGGCTTGGCTAAGCAGTTGCCTCTGGGGAAGCTGGAACAGGTCAGAGGAGAGAAGGAATTCCTCTGAGGTTGGGAGATGCAGATATTTTGGTGACTTGGGGGAGCCCTTGCATTTCGATGTTGGAAATAAAGATGTCAGGTTCACTGATGGCTAGGGCGCAGCATGCAGTGTTGTTGCATGCTAGGCCAGAATGAAGATATCACCAATGGCCATACCTAAAGAAGAGTAAAGGATCTCAAGTGCCTGAGTACCAGATCAAACATCAGACTATCTCCCCATTTCCACTGTGCAATGAGAACGTTGGACCTGGCTTGCCTCTGATAAGGAATCATCATGGGAGATGTGGGTTCTAGATCCTAAAGTCATAGGCCTTTGTCCCCAAGAGTTGCTATTTGCTTAGGAGCTCTTCTGTCAGGGCTGAACTGCAGGCCCTGAGTCAGTAAGAGTACAAAGCATGTCAGAAAGCTGGATGGGAGAGATGCTTTCCCTAGTGCTGATGGGAAAAGTTCCTGCCATCATTCCCACCCCAAAATGAACTAGTAAACCAAAGGTCTGTAAGGCACAAAGAAAGAGGAAGTGCCTAGCTGGATGGCACCAGGCTGGTTTAGAAGATTAGTTTGTCAGGATGGAGACCACTGATAGGACCAACATTTTAGTTTAGTTATTGATATCATTGAGAAAACTGGAAGGACTTGCCTCAAAGTGATGGAAAAGTCTCGAGTGAACAATATACTTACTCTCTAGATATCCTAGAGAAAAAAGTCATTGGAAAAGAGAACCATGGGAGAAAGTTAACATAAAACCATCAATTCCCAGCATATCTCTTGGCTTCAAACAAAGAGTCCCAAATACTATTCTTGTCTATTCTCTGCTTTCTGCTTACATCTGGCATGTTCTCCAACACCCCCCACCCCAATAAGAAAGACACACCTTGATTTCTGTTTTTGTCTAAAGCTCTACTTTGACCTCTTGGACTTTAGCCTTTGCCTTTCTAGGGCTGGAGCAGGCTTGGCTGCCCATCCATGTGGACTTTCTACACTGCCTTGATGCACTTGATGCAAGTACTCTTGTAACTAGTCAAGTCCTCAGTAGGTTGGCAAAACCCAGAGCCAGGTTACAATGCATACCACTGGCACCTGTGTGTCACAATGGCTAGCTTTGAGATGTTGGGTGTTAGATAACTCAGTTCAGTGAAACCACATTTCTGAGGAGGTCTGCTCTACAGATTATTAAACCCCAAGGACTAGGACATGCTCCTTTGCTTACCAGACTGGCCTGAACCAAAACTATGTCATCTTACTATCTTCCCTTGTCTTCTTTAGGTAAAGACACTTAGTCTAATCAGGCTACTAGGCAATGCAGAATCCCATTCTGATTTGTACTTATGGCTTGCTAGAACTAAGAATTACAAATGGACTACCAAGTACAATGGTCAACATGGCTGGCAGCACCTGAGGTAACTTCAAGAAAAAGTATGTTTTTCAAGGCACTGGAAACAGGAAAATGGCCTTATATACTAACTACCCTTTCCCCTTTCCCCCACTTCTCCATATAGAGCCCAGGGCTGTGTACTCACTTCTCAAGCAGGGTCAGAGCAGTCACAGGGTTCACTCGGAGGTACTTGCAGTTGGGTTGTCCATAGTCAGCAAGGTATGTGGACCAATCCCACTGAATGAAGAGGTCCAATAGCTGAAAAATACCCCAATCCCCATACCAAGGGTTAACCAGACAAAGGAAACCAGGACCTCAGAAATCCTAAATTTTTTTTACTACCAGTTGACTCTTGAAACACAGAAATAACATGTAATAAAAGCAAATACAGCTGCAGACCACACTAGAAATAGGAAAATAACCAAGTAAATGTCAGATGATAGAGAAATTTCCACCATAAGGACAAGTCCATCACTGAGACTCCATACTAGCAGTGAGCCTTAGAGACCAGCCTATGGAAAAACTATTTTGGGCTGATCTCACATATAGGACCCATAGCAATCACCCACTTATTCATTTGAGAAATGCCTATCATGAGCTTTCTGCATACCAAATCAGCTTGAGGCACTCAGAATTCAACAATGAACAAATTAAATGGGTACAGCCCAAAGCCACAATGCAATTTCAACCTCAGTTGGTCAGTACTGGTGCTCCCCATACTCTCAGAGGCCAGAAGAGGGCATTGGATCTCCTAGGACTGGAGTTACAGATGGTTGTAAGTCACCATGTGTGTGCTTGGAATCAAACCTGAGTCCTCTGCAAGAGCAGCCAGTGTTCTTAATCTCTGAGTCATCTCTCCAACACCTGGTTGATATTTATCTATTTAGCAATCAAAATGGTTTAAATATGAATGTAATTCATAAGAACAGTAACAACAACTAAAGTAGTACATTTTTTTCATCAATAAAAATAGGCCAGTTGCTAGAAGGTCTCATTCTATGAAGACACCATTTTCAAGTCTTAGTAAAAGGAGCCTGTGGAATCCACCATCTGTGTATTCTACTTTATGCCCTCAACAACCTTATGAAAAGCAGTCCCTATACAACAGATTGCCATTTGCAGAGTGCAATACTGAAGTGACAGAACTGAGATTGATCACTACAATCACATTCCTGTGTATTAAATTGTTACTTAATTATTTATATAGCTCATTGGTCCAATAGCATAAAAAGAGAGAACAGCATCTTAAAATTTATTTCATTCTATGTTCAGAGATAAAAGGGTTAACCATTCTTCATTTTTTGTAGGCAAGTCCTTGTTTAGAGTCTGATGGCAATCACACACTGGTAGTTTTCAAAGCTACTGTATGAAGAGGATGCTGAAGGCCACCTCTATACAGTATATGGTAACATAATGACTCTTGCATTCACCAATTCAGGCACACTCCCAAAATATTCCCAATAGGCCAGTTTTATTTCTGTCCAGAAGGCTGGGTGCCAAAGATCAGATATAAGAATATATATATATATATATATATATATATATATATATATATATATATATGCAGCAAGATTACAGTCAATAGACTCTGAAAATTGAAAATGGCAGACATAGTGAAGCTGATGCTGCTTCAGCCACATTACCCTTCAGGGCTGGGGTGCCCTGGGTAAAATTTAAATGGACAGAAATACACTGCTCTTGATTAAATACTTTTCCTTATATAGAACATCTAGGGAAGACACTTTTCTGATCCACTTTAGGTAAAGACACTTTGTCTAATTAGGCTACAAGGCAATACAGAATCCCATTCTGATTTGTACTTATGGCTTGCTGGAACTAAGAATTATGAATGGACTACCAAGTCCAATGGTCAATATTGTTTACAAACTTAGGCTATCCCACCACCTTCCTTCCTTCTGCACTGATCCCTAATCCAGCTTTCATTCTGCTATTAGGACAAGGTCCTCTTTCTCTCCTGCGTGCATTTCCTACTGGTATGGACTCTGGGATTTCCACTTTTTTATTATTACTTAATTTATTTATTTCACATCCCAACCATAGCCTCCCTCCCCTCTTCACCTCTCCCTCCCTCCCTACTCATCCCCCTCCACCAAACCCCCAGTTTGCCCTTCCTCCATAATTGTTCAGAAAGGGGCAGGCCTCCCATGGGCTTCAGCAAAGCATGGCATATCAAGGTGCCCTAAGACCAAGCAGCCCGCCCCCCACATCCTGTATTCAGGCTGGGCAAGGCAGTCCAGCATGAGGAATGGGTTCCCAAGAGTCAGTCAAAGCACCTGGGATAGCCCTTGCTCCCATTGCCAGGAGTACATACAGACCAAACTATCCAACTGTCACGTATATTCAGAGGGCCTAGGTTGGTCCGATTCAGGCTCCCTGGTTGTTGATTCAGACTCTGTGGGTTCCCATGCGCCAGGCTAGTGGTTTCTGTAGGTTTTCCTGTGATGTTCCTGACCCTCCTCCCTCTCCTCAGCAGGACTCCCCAAAGGTGACTCAATGTTTGCCCATGAGTCTCTGAATCTGCCTCCATGAGTCACTGGATAAAGGCTCTCTGCTGACAACCAGGGTAGTCACCAATAGGATTCCCACTTTTAATGGCTTATTCTTATATATACTGTTTTGGGACTCAGACTGTCCTAGCATTGGCAAACAGGAGTCCTTGCAAATTAGGCATGTGTTCCTGTGCTATGACCCATAATTTCTGGAGCACTTCAGTCAAAGGTTTCTGGTACAACAGGAGTTGTATTAAACCAGCTCAGTGCGGCAATTAGCTGTTACTTTTTAAAAACAATATTCTTTTAAGGGGAATGATACAAAAAAAGGGATTTTGGGGCCAGGTGTGCTCCCTGCTACTGGAATACCTCTGTTCCCTGCTATTGGGGAGACAACTTATGGGGTCTAAATTCTTTAACACACGACCTACTACTATGTAATATGCAGGTTAAAAATATGCATCTCTTAAAAACCCTGGCATCCACAAACAGTTCAACCCTCTCACAGGTTCTCTTTTGTTTTCCAGGTAAAAACTCTGGCGTTCAACATCTTTATTTAATTTGATCAACCTTACATATATCTGAAATGGACTCAGGACTGTTTGTATATACCACTAAAATAACAACCAACAAACCAAACAAGGGGAATGAAGATGGAGCTCAGGATTTGTTTGCGACTCTTCCTCCTACCATCAAACACCGCAGTCATAATAATACGGATAATTCCCCTTCCTGTTTAACTCAATGCAACTGGTTCAGTTTTGTTTTTGCTTGTTTTTAAAATTATGTTCTTCCCTCCCCTATCCTTGTTTGTTTCTAAATCTTCACTGATTCTGTTTCTGAATTAGGGGCTCCCCTGAAGCTAGGATAAACATCTTTTTTGTTGTTGTTTTGTTTTGTTTTTCAATACAGGGATTTCTCTGTGTAGCTCTGGCTGTCCGGGAACTCACTATGTAGACCAGGCTGGCCTTGAACTAGACCAAACTTCTTAAAGACTTTATTTACTTAATTTTTATTTATTTATTTATTTATTTATTTATTTATTTATTTATTTATTTATTTATTTTTGATTTGTAGCTAAGAGAGACTGGAAAAATCCAAAGGACTCAAAGGCAAAACCCTTTTTCCAAGCTTAGCTATGTAAGCAAAGAACAGACAGGTTCTAACAGGACAAATGCAAAATTTCAGGGAAGACCTTTAGGGTGAGACAGCATAAAAATGGGCCAAACTTATAAATCGTGTTTCTCCAAACCAACTTGCCAGGTAGACCAAGACTAGGGTCTTTTCAGGTGGCAACAGGGAAATAACTATCTGAGGACAAAGGAAGATCAAACTGAAGAGATTCATCCATGCTAGGAAGGCACCCAGTTTTGGATATGTGACTTTGGAGTTCTAAGGGAAGGTACTGATAAGCAGAGGATTCTGATCACGTCTGCATCAGCTCCACTGGGTAGTATTGATACAACCTCACATTGTCAAAACTTTCTCTTTCTAGCATGGTGCAAAGATTCCACAGAGAACAAAGAATGGCAGGAGCAAAGGTAGGTACACACAGCAATGGACACTTTGACAGAAGCCACATCCTGCTTCCCATAGACTTAATTTGTTGACAAGTTTTCTCTTGAACAGGCCCACTGATTCTTATAGAAATTGCTCTGAAAGCAGGAATGTCCTTGAGATGAAAGGAAAACTTGACTTTATACCTTATATACATTCAAATGAATTCTTCATGCTAAACAGGATAGAGTAAAAGATAATTATGGTAGCATGTCTGAGATACCTATATAATCCCACAACATTCTAAATATGCTGTCTTCTGTAAGTACAGTCTCCTTACACAGGGAACGGGAACATCAGAACACTAGGCAGGCATCCCTTGCTCTTTGACAGTCTGACAGGATAACACTCATTACATCATTAAAGCAGTTTTCATAATGTACAACCTGCAGGTACTTTTTAGTAGGCAGTATGGCATAACAAGAACAAATGCAGGCTCAGGGTTCCCCAACTGAGAGTGTGATCACAGATAAAGCTTCTATCAACAGCTGAAGGCATGCCAAGAGAAAGACTGTGGAGAAACTGCTCAGCAGCAGACCCGACCATGACCCATCTGTGTTTATTGCCAGGATTTCCCCTGACCCCATGCCCTTAGCCATGCAATTCAAACAACAGCTTTGGTTTGCCTCCTCCATGACCTCAGAAATGTTTCCTGATACAGACATCTGGACAAACGTCAGAAAAGGAACGAAGAACTTTAACAAACAGTACCAACAATGTAGCAAGCACTCCTGGGAATCACATAGAGAAGATAGTGAAATGCCATGTCCAGTCTTGAACTGAGGTTGGTAAATGAGCAGATTTAGAGTGATGGACACCAAGACACTTTAAGAGGATGATGCAGTTCACAAGAAAAGCTTATAGACCCAGGCCAGGCAGGTGGGGACTGGCAGGGGTGGGGTGGGGGTGCTGGACAAGGAAGCTGACGAGGTATACTCTGGGGGAATACTTTGGATATAAGTAGGAGAAAGGAAGCAAGGGACAAAGGGTCTTGAGTTGCTAAGTTAAGGGTATTGAGTTTCAGCTGGAAGCCTCCCTACTTGTTTTATCAAGGATGCTCCCAGATATTTTCTAGGGCAGAAGATAGAAAACTGTAACCACCACCTATTTTTTTTAAAAAAAGTTTTATTGGAACAGAGCTGTGTTCACTGGATAACATATGTACGGCTGCTTTTATGTAGCTTTAGTTGAGGCCAGTAGCTATGACAAACACCACCACATGCCAGAAAAGCCTAAAGCTGTACTCTTCGACTTTTCAGGGAAGTCGAGCTTTAGATCTGGGTCAAGAAGGGCAGTGTGTGTGTGTGTGTGTGTGTGTGTGTGTGTGTGTGTGTGAGAGAGAGAGAGAGAGAGAGAGACAGAGACAGAGACAGAGAGATAGAGTATGTACGCGCGCGTGTGTGAAGATGTATCTCTCATATCTTTTAAATTAAAGAAAGGAAAGCAAGAAGGCAAAGTACTCAATCACAAGGCAGTGGTAAGAACTTCATTACTGTGACAACTGGCACCAGAACTCCTTTAGGAGAGAGAAGTGTTCAGTGAGATTTTCTGCTTGAGTGAGCTCCTCAAGATATAGAGGCATCTGCAGATAAAGGAGGAGAAATTTGTGCTTCTGGTTAAGAGGCAGACCTGGAAGAAATGCAATTTAACTAGTGTGTGAGAAGGGCTAATAAGAAAATCTCTAATGGTTTTAGGGCCTGGACAACTCTGGAGACCAGGATACCGAGTAAGGAGTTTTTTTTCAAAGCTGTTGCTGTCTAGTTTAGAAAAATCTCTGGTTCCAGATACTTAAGAAAGGCTGGCAGGCTGGCTCCTCCCTCTCCCCTGCCTCTCTTTGTGTGTCTCAAAGCAAAACTAGATAGCTGCAAGCTTACTACACAAGCAGAAGCCCAGGAGGCACAGAGATGGACAATACACAAGGGCTCACAGCAATCCAAAGGAGGCCTCTGGATTTTCCACAGGTGATAAAACTGGGACTGGAGAAGTCTCCTGGGCTCTCTGGATCTCTACCCAAACCTTGCAACAATGGCTATGCTGTAAGCTCAGTCCTGGGGCTTCCAGGAGCGTCTGGTATCCTCTTTTCCTCTGAAGGGAAAAAGGGAAGGGAAGAAGTGAGCTTTGGGTGTGTGGTTGGTTCTTTGCTGTTCTTGTAATCCTACTACTTGGATGCAGACATCATGAAGCTCTGTTTCAGTGGACAACTGGGCAACAGCAGTTTCTTCTTAAAGAAAATATTACCTTTAGAAACATTTATTTGCCTCAATAATACATGTTTCTAGACTGCCTATTTAAGCCTTTCACTCCTACAGTTATATTCGCAGAGTGAGGAAAAGATAGGTAGGCTGACTTACCACAGTCATCTCCACCTGGGGCCTGCAAGAGTCTCTGGAATGGGGACACAGTACCAAACACTTTCCAATGATGTTGTCCTGTGGTCACCTCTTACCAACAACAGCATCTTGCTAAGGGGACAAAGGCAGAGCCTTGATGGGTGCTGACTGAGCTGCCCTTTTAGGGGTGGGGAGATAGCAGGTGAGAAGTTTGGGTGGAAGTGCTGCCATAGATGTAGTAGGAGAAGGGGACAATTGCCTTGAACTGGTTTTTTTCTTCCAGTATAGTATTGTTTGGGTTAGGGACTATATTACTGATTTGTTAAATGAACTATCACACATTCCCAGGCCAAATTAACTGAGTTTAAGAGCATCTCTGCAAAGAGACCATAGATGGAAGGTAATATCAAAAATACAAATATAAGCATGCATAAAAATAATGGCACAACAGCTCTAACCACAGTATAAGTTCTGCATCATTCACTTTATAAAGTAAAATCTGTGACACATCCATCAGCATGATAATCAACCCTTATGATTAAAATTATCAGAAAAGATACTTGAAATATGATTCATATACAGAGCTATGAGTGACTTTTTCTTAGCCTATATACATAATATACATTTTGAAATATGAATTGGTTAGTATGTGTATGCAAACATAGGCATAAACACATACACATGCACACCTCTAAAGGGGAGGATAAAGTTCCATGTCAAACTGCAGTGGGGAGAAAGGTGTGGATTGGAATATCTTTTTGTATCTATTCATATCTAATTATAGTTGATTAATAAACTGTTATAAACATTAATATATATTACAGGTGAATCTTCAAATTTTATTTTACCAATAGTGGTGCTCAATGAAAAGTTTGGAGGAACTGGCTAGACTATGTAAGGAAAACTATCATAACCAAGTGTGTAGGAGCACACCTGCAATTCCAACACTTTAAAGGCTGAGGAAGGGTGATCATGGGTTCAAGTCTAGTATGGACGACACTGTGAGTTGGAAGGTCAGGCTGGGTTACACAACATGATCCTTTCTCAAGAAACAAAAAAGCTATAAAACTATCACAAAGTTATAATGAATGGCTTTGGTTCTTGTGGTGGTTTGAATGAAAATGGATCCCATAGGCCCATAAAGAGTGGCACTATTAGGAGGTGTGGCCTTGTTGGAGGAAGTGTGTCACTGTGGGGTTGGGGGATGGGGGGCTGGGGGTAGAGGGGTGGGCTTTGAGGTTTCAGAAGCTCAAGCCAAACCTAGTGGCTCACTTTTTCTTCCTGTTGCCTGCTGATCCAGATGTAAAACTCTTGGTTTCTTCTCCAGTACCTCGTCTGCTTGTGTGCTGCCTTGCTTCTGGATATGATGACAATGGACTTAACTGTAAGCCAGTCCCAATTAATATTTTCCTTTATAAGAGTTGCTGTGATCATGTTGTCTCTTCACATCAATAAAACTTTAACTAAAACAGTCTTTCTCTTAGATATGTAAATGAAAACACAATCGTAGACCTTCTACAGGTCATAATTACAAATCACAGTCTGTAGGAAGTTAAGGCCTACCAGGCTGAGAGGAGCCAACCTGGACTCCGCCTGGTGATGTCAGAGGTCCTGATCATGCCTAGCCAATGAGGGGCAACCATGCAATTAGCATTAACCACGTTAATGGATTGGACCGCCTGAATGCTGGGAGGGCACATAAGTTTTTCCCTGTTATTAAATAAATGAGTCTGCTGTGTGTCTTTTGCATGACTCCCAGTATCTGAGACGTTGACACTGCGCCTTCCCCTCCCCACTCCCCAAGGAAGACATTAGGGTCCAGCACCAACAGCCCATGCACTTTCTATAGGTCTAACAA